CCAAATGGAAGTCGGGTGCAGGGCGCATCCATCAGACGGGATTGAATAACGTCAACAGACTTTAAGAGGACATATCAGTGAAAAGACCACTAAAAGGATGAAAGAACAACATTTGAGCTGTAGTTGTGTTGGAAGAGCGCAACGACATGGTCCAAATTAAGAACGAGATATCCGAAGAGAATAATAAGAACAGTGAAACAGTTCTAGCATTGTAACGATCAATTCGATTCCGGTTTTCACCTGATTGATTTACTGAGAAATGCGATTATGTACGAAAAAAACTGGCGTAGATAAGAAGCTCCTTTGGAATGCTTGAGAAGACCATCGGAATTCTCGAAAAGATTCCAGAGATATTCCTAACAGCTCCCAGTTTGAGTTTCCTCCATACCTGAGCATGTTAGATAATGTTCAGCACCGCTCAGCGGTAAAGCTCTATTATTGTGAAACAGCTTCATTTCGCTTTCGAGCAAGTCACCGTTCTTATAGGAGCTTTCCAAACAAAGGAGTAAGCTTCTACGCTTTCCCAAATAGTTGTGGTATAGGGACCGTCAGGTGAATCGGAAGCCATTAAACTCATGTGCAGTGTTGACTACGTACATTTGCATCGTTCCAAGAAATTCAAAGCGAAATGAATTTCTCGACGACGCTTGGGGTACCTTTTTCTCTAATGCAGCAAATGTGGTGTGTTCTGAAACGCAGGCCTTCTTTCCATAGCACTCTCCAGTCCTACGAGCTGCAGTTACGGGACTTAGCAGACTATCGGAAGCAGGATTAGCAGCAAGAATTTTCACTGGAGTCCTCTTCACTTTGTGAATAGGTGCTCTGATAAATAGTAACTTCACACATTTGTCCTACATACAGTAGCGCTCAAAAGTATTCGGCCAATTTTAACCTGCCGTAACTTTTTTCCCAGTGGAGCAAATCACATGAAATTTTGATATGTTTAGCTGAAGCATATTTCACACTATCCAACACTACTCGACAGCAAAACAGCCATATCTTCATTCTGGGTTCGGCANTAGCGCTCGTACACTTAATGCATGGCAAAAAGGAAAGGGCTCCTAGAAGGACCATCATTCGTATTTCCAGTTGATTTTTTGTTCAAGCCCTTCGGGGTATCTGGAACTTGATCAGACTGCAGGTTAATAGTGGTAAATATCCACACTACACCAATATTACACATATTGAAATTTCGCTTGATTAGGTGCAGTAGGAAAGGAGTTATGACTGAAAAGTACGAGTGAAGAAGCATTTGGCCGAATATCTTTGAGCGCTACTGTCCATAGTGCTGCCCCTCTTCCTATTTACCTTTAGCCAAAGTGTAGTCTAGGAAAGTTTAATAGTACAAAACGAGCTCCTATGAACGAGGATGTTATTTCTGAACAAACTCCCACGGACAACAAACGATGTCCTTATGTATGACATGCACTCTTCCTTTTGTTTGCTGGCATTAGTTTTTTTTATTCCGTAAATTGTTCTGCTTGCATATCGTCACGTGTTTGAACTTTATTTTTACATTTATAAGCTAAGTAGGTTCTCAGGTGATAAAAACGTGCAATCAGATAAGAACTGGTTAAACCGAGTAAAACACCCCGAAAAAAGTGTTAGAACAGCACGCCAAGCCGACATTGGGAAGTGAGAATGCTAATACTCTTTTCTTATCCTCTCCCTTTGCCAAAATACAGGGTGGCTGAAAAGTATAAGACGAACCGTTTGACGCTCGCTGGCACCCTGCCAATGGGTATTTTCAGAATCTTGTGGGACTATTAGAAAGCTTGGGATCTGTACAA